TGTAATATTGATTAGTTATGTGGTTCTTCTTTGAACAGAAATACAATCGGGACCTTTTCATCTTCCTGTACCTTATCCTTGTCATAGTTTCAGCAATGACATCTTTGAAAAAACATACTGACAAATCAGCATTTTCTGGAAAATCCATACTTTACCTAAATCGGCATCAGACTGAGGAATGGAAAGGGTGGATGCAGGCAAGTTCTCTTCTCTAAGTTCGTAAATTGTAGGGTACAGATATTTCCTTATTGTGTGCTCTTGGTATTTCTTCTCTCTTTTGTTTTAGGAGGGAAATTCTGAACTTATACTCGTGGTGACCGGCCACTGTTATTTTTACTGTTCAGGTGTTTGTATTGTGACAACCGTCCATGCTCATCTAACTCGAACGAGCATATGTCATCCTTTGATATTTTTGTTATTGGTTGAACTTAAATTTGGATACTATATGCTAGATTGAATCTGTAGATTTGATTGGCTTTTATTCATTTAGTTTTTTATCAGAGTTGAGTTGCGAAACCCAACAACGCTACTCTTTAGTTTTCGTCTAGTTGAACATCAAACTTTGTTATATATAGAGCTCAGTTTGATCACTATGCTGTTTATAATGATTAATTTATGAATGTACTATCAGTATAATCATCTCTTTTGCTTCTTGGCAGGTCCTATTTCTAATGTACCATTACTTTGCTGCTAGTGAGATTTACAATGCAATACGCATCTTTATTGCTGCATATGTTTGGATGACTGGATTTGGAAACTTCTCCTATTACTACATTAGAAAGGATTTTAGCCTCGCCCGCTTTGCTCAGGTAAAGTGTAGTTCTAGGCAGTATATTCTCGCAATTGTCCTTGTGAGTATTATGACAATGATCTGAAATGCTTGTATTCTTTATTGTCCTATGCAGATGATGTGGCGGCTGAATTTTTTTGTGGCGTTTTGCTGTATTGTTCTTAACAATGACTATATGCTCTATTACATCTGTCCAATGCACACTCTGTATACTCTTATGGTGTATGGAGCCCTTGGCATCTTTAGCAAGTACAATGAGATCAGATCAGTTATGGCTTTGAAGATTCTCGGATGCTTTCTTGCGGTTATCTTGATTTGGGAAATACCTGGAGTGTTTGAATTAGTCTTTCATCCATTATCATTCTTATTGGGTGAGTAACCCCGTTCAGCTTTCTGGTTTTTTTTTTTTTTTTATAATTTTTTTATATTATGTTTTTCACTGTTGGAAATTCAACCCAAAAGAAAAAAATACAGTTGGAAAACTAAGGACTTTTAAAATTTTATTACACTCATCCAAGAGTCTTTAATTTGTGCTATTCAATTTTTATTTTTGGGCAGGCTCATTACTCAGAAACTTTGGCCAATATTGTAAGACAAAACAGTTTATAACTAATAAAAGATAGTCATCCTCTTGTGAGTTATTTATATGTATTGCATGAATATTGAATAACTTTAAATAGTTGACCTGTTCAAATACTTTTAAGGGGCTTAGGTTTTGGCCAAAAAAAAAAAAATCTAGCTTGTATATATAGGTCTTAAACTGATTTGAGATTCTTTATATAAAGAAGATGAAGAAAAGGTTGATATGGGATTCTTGAATTGTTTCTGTGCATGAATTGCTTACTGTTCACCCATTGCTCAAACTTATTGTCCTTGTTCCCTACCGTGCAGGGTATACTGATCCTGCTAAACCAGATCTCCATCGTCTGCATGAATGGCATTTTAGATCTGGACTTGATCGCTACATATGGATCATTGGAATGATGTATGCCTATTATCATCCTAATGTAATCCCTTGAATCTCTATATCTGGTTGCTTTTGCTTTCTTGATACTCCACCTGCTGAGATTTTAAGTGTAATATCTCTTAGGTGGAGAAATGGATGGAGAAATTGGAGGAATCTGATACCATAAGGAGAGTCTCAATCAAAGCAGGAATATTTTCCAGTTCTATATTTGTAAGTTTCTTCCGTTGTGGTAATTGCCTGCTTATATATAATGGCTAATGTTTTAATCTTGTAATGTGATCTCATGCTCATTATTTCACTGTTAGGTTGGTTATCTGTGGTATGAATATATTTACAAGCTGGACAAGGTTTCATACAACAAATTGCACCCCTACACATCATGGATTCCGATAACGTGCGTGTTATTTTGTTTCTTTTTCGTATTAAATGGAATTATTCTCTGGGAGTTTTATCAGATGGCACATACAATTTTCGGTTATTTATTTTTCTGTTCATCTTAGTGACTTACCATCACCTCTACTTATTGTGATTTCAGTGTATATATATGCTTGCGGAACTTTACTCAGCAGTTGCGGGGTGTCTCTTTGACTCTCTTTGCGTACGTATTCTTATCTGAAAGTCAAACACAGCAGTACCTTTTGTAGGGTTAGTAATTGTTCAGACGTAAGTGGTTTTTTGTGTTTATGAAAGGTTTTGCTGACTCATTTTGTCTGTACAATTTCATTTCGGTTATGCTAGGTGGCTTGGGAAGATTACTTTGGAGACCTATATTTCACAGTTCCACATCTGGTTGAGGTACGTGATACTTCTATTTCATTAACTATGACCACTAAGTCGTACGTTTTTTCACCAGTGGAATGCACATCTGAGTCTTTACAAATGCCTTCTTTTGTGCTTTACAAATGCTTCTTTCTCTTTTCATAAGGAACTCATGAAAATTTTCCTTTACTCGTGTACAGAACAAACACACCTAATGGACAGCCTAAGTGGCTTCTCTCTGTCATTCCAGAATATCCGTTGCTCAACTTCATGCTGACAACCGCCATCTATGTTTTGGTAAGAAAATCTTCAATCTTCATTTAGCCCTTAAAATTTTGCAAGCCAACAGTGCTTACAAATTCTCACCTGGTGCCTGCTGTTCTGTTGACTTGGTCCTGCAGGTATCTCATCGGATTTTCGAGTTAACCAATACGCTTAAGACAGTGTTTGTACCCACCAAAGACAACCAAAGGCTGCTTCATAATTTTCTCGCGGGGGCTGCCATTTTTACTTGTTTGTATTTTGTCTCATTCATTCTTGTTCAGATACCTCATTGAACTGTAAGAACCTTTCTGCTCTGTGCTCACTTTTTCTTATTTCTTAGATGCTGTGCAGAACTTCTGTGATTTAGATTTATTGAGAAGTTTCAAAACTTGCTGTCGTGTTCAGTTTCATATATTAACGGGTTTTACTCTTACAGGCTTAACGATTCAAGACCCAAAAGTGGGTTATACAGATGTTTCCTGTTGGATGTGCAAATATAGAAAGAATTTCAATAAGGGAAATGGAAGACGTCGGTTGCGAATATAGCCTGCAAAAGCTTGCAGTTCCAACATTTTTTTGTATCGAGGAGAAAGGCAAACTCTCCGTTGCTGCTTGAAAGCTTGGATGTGGATGTTAGATTTGCCTTTGGAAAGTTTGGTAGGAGGGCCGGAAGCAGGAAGCGACAGTAGTGAGAAGAATTCTTTAGAAAATATATATAGCTGTTTGCTTTGTATCTTCTTTTTCTTTTTCCCCACAGTTTTGTTAAATCCTTGAAGAAATTGTAGATCTCTGTGACATAGATGTGCTGTTTGTGATAAATCAAAGTTCAGAAGTTCGTGAGCAATGCAATCTGAATCTGCTGTTTATTGTTAAAATGGTCCACTGTATCCAATACTTCCCTCATTCTCGGAACGGAGGAAAGTCGTCCTTCCCTGCGTGGCATTATTTTATCATACAAAATGTCATAGTAGAACCGTTCATTCTCTTTATCATTGTCGAAATATTATTTTTAGAAAATTCATTTGTTTTGGAGTCGTTTAGTCATTTTTGTATGATTAAACAAAATCAACTGTTCATTTCATAACTGTTAATTTTTTTAACACATTCAGACTGACAATGTTTCGTAGAAATTCTTAAGAAACAAAGTGTTCCATATTTTTTATTTCACACTTTCCATGTGACCGTATGAGCATCCGAGAAAAGATCCAAGTTAATAACAAATCAGGATGCACATCAATTCAAAACCCACGAATTTCTTTAAAATGGGTTTTAAGTTCCCCATTACCCCATTATTCGGAAATGATTTACACTTTTTTCTCGCATGCACACTTTTGTTATTTTTCACATTTAGATTGAATAAAGCAAAATATAATTAACGTATATAAAAAAAGGATCGTACGGTGCACAGGGAGAAAAATAGTGTACATAAATCATTTTTCCTAATATTTTCAAACTGTCCAAAATACTGTCACAAGTGAATTAAGATATTCTACAAATCTCTGTGTCCGAAGTCGACGGACTAAACAATCCTGGCTGTTCAAGGAAGAGAGAGAAAGAGATTCGGACTGTTTAAGAGCTTGTTTTTGTGTGAGGTGAGCCAATGTGATGAGCTAATAAGGACTGCATGATTTAAATTAAGTGGTCTAAATTCTCTTGTCCGCCAGCTCCAAACACAAAGATACGTAGAGGATATGAATTCGTCACAAATCACTGGCAAGACTAGTTGTTTATCATTGCGAGATGATTTTAAATTTAATTTAATCTAAGTTTTGTTTATCAATGAAGGATAGGGTTTCAAATTTGAGACCCCCTCTATTTTGGAGGAAAATAAATATCGCTCGACCAACAACTAATTGATTTAAGAGTTGCAACAATCGAAAGCCAATATCCCACGTAATATAAATGCATGTCGTTATGGTTTTGCGTATGCAAATGCATATACAAGCAAATTGACGAGGTTCATATATCCTTTGCAATCTATACTCTCTTTGATAACAGTCGACTTAAAATAAGTTGAATCATGCGTAAATCAAACAAAGAGAAGGTGATTAGCTTCCGTGATTAAATTTGTGTCATCTTAACAAAGTAGTTATCAAAGTAATATGGGAAGTGTCGATCAGTTGGAAAACCCCAACGAATCTACTCCTACTTCTAGGTTGCATGCTTTTCGTACTTGCTTTTTCTTCATTGCCGTGATACATGACCCACACCCCACTCCACATTTACGTTAAATTACATGGCCAAGTTTTCATCTGATCAGCTCAAATAACCTCTCTCTCTCTCTCTCTCTCTCTCTCTCTCTCTCTCTCTCTCTCATTTGAGAGAGTTTCTTCATCCCTGGCATGGGAGAACCTCAAGAAGTGCAACTCAACATTGTAGGTACGTACGTACGTATGGTCCTTTTTTTTCTCACTTTTTTCTTCTTGCTATTGCTCGGTCTAAAAAAACTTATTTTATCAGAGAGGGGAGAGGGTACAAATCATAGATGGTGAGTCTAATTCTACGCGATCTTATTACTGATACGCATAATTCAATGAGTTTACTGTTATTAGCTGTGAGAATTGGATTTGGTTTTTCTTATGATAAAGCTTATTATATATAGCAAGTGCGAGAGGCCTTGATCATGAAGCAAATCCTGCCGAAGTGTTAATGCATTGAGTATAACAAGAAACAGACATTTGATCAAATACTGATCCTTGCATATCTTTTTCTTCTTTCTATTTATCAGTTAATGACTCAAATGAAGCAAACTCTTCAGGGTGCACAGATGCTCGCGAACAAGCACTGCTTCCCCGGCGTAGGAGCTTCAACCGGTGGCTTAGGATGGCCATTTGTACGGTCTTTGTCATCGCCGGCCAATCAGCTGCAACGCTGTTGGCAAGATTATACTACGACAAAGGTGGCAAAAGCAAATGGCTGGGAGCGCTAGTACAACTTGCTGGCTTCCCTATCCTCCTTCCCTATTATTTCTTCCCAACAAAAAGAACAAATCCAACCACAAACATTAGTACCAGTACTACTCCCGAATCAAAAGAACCCTCGACTTTAATCCTTGCATCAATTTATGTCTCTCTCGGCCTTCTAATAGCCTTGGGCTGCTTCTTGTACTCGGTTGGATTATCTTACCTTCCCGTCTCTACTTATTCCCTCATTTGTGCATCCCAATTGGCATTCAATGCGCTATTCTCCTTCTTCCTCAACTCGCAAAAGTTCACCCTTTATATTGTCAATGCCCTAGTCCTCCTCACCATCTCCTCAACCCTCCTCGTGCTCCATGGTGACTCAACAGACGATCCAAGTGGAGGATCAAAAGCAAAGTATGCGATCGGGTTCATATGTACCCTTGGCGCATCAGCTGAATACTCATTAACGCTTTCTCTATCGCAGCTCGTCTTCAGCAAAGTTATAAGGAGGGAAACATTTAGAGTGGTCATGGATATGATAGTGTATCAATCTCTTGTTGCTACCTGCGCCATCTTGGTGGGACTTTTCGGTAGCGGAGAGTGGAAGGGTTTGAGGAACGAGATGGAGGGGTACGAATTAGGGAAGGTATCCTATGTCATGAACTTGATATGGTCAGCTATAATATGGCAACTCTTTGATGTTGGCATGGTGGGATTGGTTTTTGAGGCATCTTCTCTCTTCTCCAATGCCATTAATGTTGTGGGTTTGCCTGTTGTTCCAGTTGTAGCTGTGATTTTCTTCCATGACAAAATGGACGGGATTAAGGCAATGGCCTTGGTTTTGGCCATCTGGGGATTTGTTTCATACGTTTACCAGCACTACCTTGATGATCAAAAGTCCAAGATCGAGAACAAAAATGGAAATAGTTGAAGAGATTTTGCTTTTGCATATCAAGTGTAACATCGAAGAATTCAAGACCTAAAGAAATATAATGATACAGATGTTACTTAATGTTAGATTTGTACGTAAAATACGTGTCGTATATTGTTGTATGGTTGTAAAACCTGTCAAACTTACTTAAAACTCACTCACTACTATCGCGAGGTCTATGATATAATTATGATCTTTTGTGCTGGTGGCTAGTAGTTGATGAACTAGTAAGCCATGGACCCATGACTAAAAATAATTGTACCCGTCTTAGTTGAAATTTTAACAATTATAGGATAAGGGCGTGATCACGACTTGTCACTGTGCATGATGTATTTAATGAAGACCAACAATTCTGAATCGAAAGTCAATTTGCACTAGTAAAAAGAAATTAAATTAATAAATATTGAGGAATAACTGAGTCACTTTGCAAGTTTTATAGAAATCCTTTGAGGAAATAATAGGGAGACCATTTTTTTAGGGGTGCATTTTTGCTCACCCATATTAACTTGGGTGTATGCTCACCACATATCTCCAAGCTTGCCAAGTGTCCTCTCGCTTTAATCCTGGTTAACATTTTCATTTGTTATTAATATTTTACTATAATAACACATTAATAATCATCTTAACATTTATCTTTAAACTTTTTAATCAATATTTGTATCTCAACCGTCCATCTCCCCTCTTCCTCTTGAGGTAGATTCTCTGCCCTCCCACTTCCCGTACCCTACTGTTTTGTGTGGTCACGGTTAAGTCACGTCAACATTTTATATTTTTTTATAGAGATAATAAGACAAAAATAAATAGTAATATAAAATATTGACGTGGTTTAACCGTGACCACACAAATAGAAAGGCACCGAACTTGGAGGGTAGAGAATCTGCCTCCCTTCCTCCCCCCTCCCATCTCTCTCCTCTTATCACTTTTCCCCCTTTTCTGTCATTTGGGCGAATATCCCAAATCTAAAATCTCAAATTCTAATACAAATTTAAAGGGGAATGGGTGAATTGATTTGACGGGGTGAAGTCCATCGACATCGTGAGAAAGGAGCACAGGTTGCCTCCATTCATCCGAAGCAAAGATGCACAGATAAGTGAAGAAAATTTGTACCCAAAAGACTGTTACAAATTGTGGGTGGTTGGCGTGGGGTGGTGAGAGGTGGGAGGAAGCAGATAACAAGTGAGAGGAATAAAGGGTCGTCATTGCTGCTTCAAATGCTCGATCAATTTCCAGTAGAATATTATACATAAATAAAATTACAATTAGGAGATAATTTATGTGATTCAAAACGCCATGGATGATTTGGTGGAGGAGGACAATTTCTTTGAAACTGAATAAACGCTTCGGAAGGTAAGTTGCAGACGGTTTTTTATTTGTCTATTTTTAGTTTATTTTTATTTCTTGATTAAATTAATAAAGAGTAATTAAATCACAGTTAACCAGGGTTAAGGCAAGGGGACACTTGGCAAGCTTGGAGATGTGTGGTGAGCATACACCCAAGTTAACGTGGGTGAGCATACACCCAAGACAACATTTGTAATTATGTGATGTGTCACCAATAAAAAATAAGCACGTTAATTAAACATTTAAATAATAATCAAATCATACACAATCTTACCATATAATTTATAAAATATAATTTAAACAGATAGTTTCTTACCACGTGATCCTTTATGATTATGGTTTGAATTTTCTCCACTATATATAACAAAAAAAAGAAGAAGCAAAGATCGGCAGATTTCTTTTGTTATATTTTCATCTGTTGCAATCATCAATATTTAACATATAATAGGAGCCCTAGAAGCTGTTTTGGAATTTAATGAATGATTTTTCTTGACAATCTACTACCTCTAAGAGTCCAAACTTGGAGGGTTGATATTCTTATAGAGCTTTGATAAGGATATATATTTGATGATTCTTCATTTCAAGTAAATAAACACTGATTAATACTATATATCTACGAGATTGAAAATTTTAGATCACCGCTATCCCACGTATACTATATCATACAAAAGTTGCGGGACCCAAAAAATGAAGTGTAGATATCTAGTTTCTTCAATGATCTCAGGCGCCTGAAGATGAGTGGTCCAATTTGGTCCATCATTTTATTCATGAATGTGATGTTATTGTCTGTAACTTGCAGTTTTTTAGGGAACAGGATCCTCTCCTGAGCAATTCCCTAGGGATCTTAGGGATTTCGCAATCATGTCCATTCATCGTATATCGTGCGGTCAGAAATCATTTAAAATTTAAATTTAAAAATTCAAATATGAATAGTACTTAACGAAAACTGACCGCACGATATAAAATGAACGGACAAGATTGCGGGATCCCTAGGATCCCTATGGAATTGCTCAGGAGAGGATCCTGGTTCGTTTTTTAGGATACAAAAATATCCAACAGGATCCGGATCTTTTTTATGAGGATTCTAGAAATCTGTGAATTGTGTTCATTCATTTATATCATGCTGGTTAGTTTTTATCAGATATTGTTTGTGTTTAATTTTCAATAAAAATATTTAAAATGATTTCTGACTGCACGATGTACGATGAACGGATACAATTCACGAATCATCGGAATCCTCATTATCCGGATTCCAAAAATATAGGACACAATTCACGAATCATCGGAATCCTCATTATCCGGATTCCAAAAATATAGAAAAGCAACAATGATACAAGACTAGAGTCCTAGCAACCTATTCCAACATTCATTTGGAAATATATATTCCGAAACTGTATGCATGTCATTTACTTAATATATACGTGAGTTGAAACAAGGCTTCTCTCTCTCTCTCTCTCTCTCTCTCTCCCCTCCATTGTTTGCTAGTTTTTTCATATTTGACATGGAAGAAGCTCAAGAACTTCAACTCAGCATCGGGAGTAAGTCTACTTCTATTCTATGTGATTTTTCTGAGTATATTGTGATCTTTTCTGAGTATATATTGATGAAATTGGAATTCCACCATAAAATCAATTCACCGCTCTGATACTATGATGAAATTGGGATTCCACCATAAAACCAATTCGCAATATGAGGAGTAACCAAAGACCATATAAGCACATAGCAAATATTGTCTCTCACCGATGTGGGACAACTCTCAACATATATGGCAACTGATAAAAAGTTTATCTAGTATGGACAGGGATTCTGGCCACATATCTAGTTATTCATTCACCCTAGACGATGCTATGGAGAAGTCAATCTAGAACTTTCGATTGATATATGTTAAACGAATCAAATTATGAGAAGTGAATTATGTTATTATTGTAATTTATGAGGAAAAAATTACAAATTGGGGTTGTTTTGGGGGGAGAATTCTAAAAATCCCAACCCTGTTATTATCATAAGTTTCAATACTGATCCTTGTAAATCTGTTGTTACAGAGGAAGCAAATGGAGAAAATGAAGCAAACTTATCAGGGCATACAGATGTCTCAGACCGATCACTGCTACCGCAGCGCAGAAGTGTCAACTGGTGGATTAGGATCGCCATTTACTCGTTCCTCGTCATTGCCGGCCAGTCGGTTGCAGCATTATTGGGAAGACAGTACTACGACAAAGGCGCCAAAAGTAATTGGCTGGCAACAGTAGTACAACTTTGTGGCTTCCCTATCATGCTTCCCTACTATTGCATCCCAGCAAGCAGAAATAATCCAATCCCAAAAGATAGTCCTATCCCATCAAAACCACCGTCTACCAAAATCCTCGCATCAGTATATGTCTCTCTTGGCTTCCTAATAGCCCTAGGCTGCTACTTGTATTCCGTAGGACTATCTTACCTTCCTGTATCTACTTTAACTCTCATTTGTGCATCTCAATTGGCCTTCAACGCGTTTTTCTCCTTCTTCCTCAACGCGCAAAAGTTCACTTCTTACATTGTCAATTCTCTAGTTCTCCTCATCATCTCCTCCACCCTCCTCGTGTTCCAAGGCGAAGACAACTCTGGAGGCGATGATCCAAGTGCAGGATCGAAGGCAAAGTATGCAATTGGGTTCATATGCACCTTAGGGGCATCAGCTGGATTCGGATTATTTCTTTCCCTAACTCAGCTTGTCTTCAGAAGGGTTATAAAAAAGGAGACGTTTAGAGCGGTCATGGACATGGTAGTGTGTGAAAATCTGGTTGCAACCTGTGTAACCGTGGTCGGACTTTTCGCTAGCGGAGAGTGGAAACATTTGAAGGGTGAGATGGAGGGGTATAAATTAGGGAAGATATCCTATGTGATGAATGTGATGTGGACAGCAATAGCATGGCAGCTTGTTTCTGTTGGATCGGTGGGCTTGATTCTGGAGGCCTCTTCCCTCTTCTCCAATTCCATAAGTGCTTTGGGTTTGCCTGCTGTTCCAGTTCTAGCTGTGATCTTCTTCCATGAAAAAATGAGTGGAATTAAGGGAATAGCCATGGTTTTGGGTATTTGGGGATTTGTTTCGTACGCGTATCATCACTACATCGAAGATCGTAAGTCCAAGACGGAGAATAGAAATTCCGGGAATGTTGAAGTTTCAAAAGCTTTAAATGATTGAATAGAGAGGTCTGTTTGTAGATCATCTCTGGTTTTATGCAAAAGAAAAGAATTACAGGCCTTATTGTGTTTATGAAAGGCTATTGCTTTCCACTTGAATGTTCTCTCTCTCTCTACCTCCCACATCACTTTAAGATTCTTCACTCTGGTTTTCATGTTTTATGTGGCTTCTCTGCATAAAATCGGAAAATCGTTCCGATGTATTAACTCTGTAGCAGTAGGATTATAGCACATATCTGCAATGGAGGAGTTCACAGATCGATTATATTTGTATGCTAGTAAAAAAAATAAAAAATTATTTTATTGATGAATAAATCATACATGAAGCTACCTCGATGGTAATCCAAATATGTGTTTCATACCAGTTAATTTCTCAGCCCAGAGATTTTAGCCGGTGGTGCGTATATCACCATCTAACGCTATTCATTGGATTGATTTTTGAGGTGTCTTCTTTATTCTCCAATGTCATAAGTGCTTCCGGCTTGCCTTTCATTCCAGTTCTAGCTGTAAAGCCTGTAATCTTCTTCAATGATAACATGGACGGATTAAAGGTTATTTCCACCGTGTTGGCCCTCTGGGGCATTGCTTCATATATATGTCTATCAGCACTACCTCGATGATTCAGAGTCCAAGGCTGAAACAAAACATGTAAGAGAAATTTCAACAATTCCTTTACCGAAAGAGGTCAACCGCCGAGCGAGTAATAAGATGGACAACTAGACATCCATCACCAATTCACCTAGACCTTTTTGTTCC